GGCGCAACCCATGAAAAGATTTTTTCAGCCTACAAACAAGCCCAAGCCGAGAGGAGGAGAACCCGGGAGGGGATTTCATGTAGACCTCTTCAATCAAGTCTCCATGAAGAAAGGCATTATGGATGTCCATTTGGTGTAGCTCCCAATTTTTAGCCGCGGCAACAGGCAAAAAAATGAACAATGACCATTTTGGTAACAGGAGCAAAAATTTCATTATGATAGATACCTGCTTGCTGGTGGTTCCCAAAAACAACTAGTTGTGCTTTGAGTCGTTCAATGCTCCCGTTAGAGAGATATTTAACTTTGTAAACCCACTTGCAACTAAGCACCCTTTTCCCAGAAGGTAGTACAGTCATGTCCCAGGTATGATTATTTTCAAGTTCCCAAATCTCACTTTGCATAATCTCGCGCCAACCAGGATCGGTCATGGCTTCGCAGAAAGAACGTGGTTCGCGTCCTGCAAGAATAGCTCCAAGAAACATACAATGACGGGTAGAAAACTTGTCACAACTCACATAATTAGCTATGAGGTAAGGCGTACCTGAGGAACTGGACGGAGCGTGTGGTGACGAAGATGGGCTCAATGTCTGAAGATTATGAGTAACAAAATCTTGTAACAATATTGATGGCCGTTTCGTTCGTAAACCACGACCAAGAGCAGGCTGCTCCATTGATGAGCTCTCAACGAACGGTGCGGACGAGGGTGGAGGATCAATTGCCACGGTAGAATCTAGGGTAGTGAGCGGCGTTGTAGGAGGAGGATCCAGATCAAGCACAACCTGTTGTGCACCATCCATAGTCATGTCATTCGTAGCAGGTACATCGGGTTCCACCGAAAAAGGAAACACATCTTCGTGAAATTGTACATCTCGTGACACCAAGATATCCCATGTGCAGAAGTCATATAATTTCCAACCCTTTTCCCCCGCGGGATACCCAATAAGCACACAACGCCGACTACGTGAAGCGAATTTATCACCGTGGGATTTTAAATTATAAGCATAACTGAGACAGCCAAATACCCGCAAGTGAATAAAATCGGGCGCCTGCCCCGTAAGAATTTCATACGGAACTTTACCTCCCAAAAGACCAGAAGGTGTGGGATTAATAAGATACACTGCAGTCAGCACACACTCTTCCCACAGAGAAATAAGAATATTAGCTTGAAACATTAAAGCACGAGTCAAATTCAATATATGACGATGTTTACGTTCTACCGTGCCATTTTGTTGGGGTGTGTCAACACATGATGTCTGAAAAATAATACCACATTGTTCAAAATGAGACAACATACATCTGAATTCAGTCTCGTTATCACTACGAATAATTTTTACTGACACCTCATATCGTTTTTCAATCATAGTGATAAACGAGAAAAAATAACAACTCACTTCCTTTTTTTCACACAATAAAAACACTCACACAACTCGTGAATAATCATCAACTAAAGTCATGAAATAAACAACGTCACAAGTAGACGGGGTTTTATAAGGACCCCACAAATCATAATGATTTAATTCCAAAATGTGACTTGCTTTTATTACTACTAAAGGGAAAAGAATCACACACTTGCTAGGCCTGTGGACACACCTCACAAGCTTTATTCAACTTTTTCTTAGAAGAACTAGAATTTTTAGCGGGTAACAATTTAATAACTTAGTCGGAAGGATGACCCAAATGGCGGTGCCACAACTCAAATTCTGTCAAATCTGATGTACTGATAGCATGCAAACCAGATACCCCACAGAAGTAATAGAGCCCATCTCGCCGTTCACCGGCTCCAATCAGGTTCGTTGAGTGTAGGCCCTGTATAGCACAAAGTGAAACAGTAAAAGTTACAGTACATGAAGCTTGACCGATTAACTGTGAAACGTTAGCCCAATTAACGTTAGCCCCACTGTTGCAAGAAGAGGCGCCCTCGTCTTGAGGCAGTAGGGATGTTGATACTGCGTGAGTGCGAGCCCCGCCTCCACGGCCTGTCCCTGTTCCCTTCGTGCGGTTCCTTTTCTCCCACCAATCCGGGTAACCGTGCAACTTGAAGCATGAATCAATCTCGTGCCCCTTCTGTTGACAATGAGAGGACGTAAGCTTTCCACGATCTGGCTGTTCTGAACGACCCTTCCCTGCACGCATTGGACTACTGTTAAGAATTAATACGAAGTACTATTAATTACTATTTACTATTAATATTTGACATAAATAATACGAACTACTATTAATTACTACTTCTATTCTCTTTTAATTGCAACATTGGACTTTTGCACTATTCACACATTCTACTTTGACTATATTTTATTTATTAATGTATTATAAATTAAATTTTTAAAAAATATTGTTAAATTCTTCTCATTTGAAATTTTAAAAATCTGATTTTTTTTTTATTTTTTTTACTAATAAGGAATGAAAGATATTAATGGTCAAACTTGTGTGTTGGCAAGCGTGAAAAGTGAACTGTTTCAATTAAAAAACAATGTAGTATCTTTTTGCACAGGCAGTAGTGTATTACACTATTACCTGTTTGTAGACTGTGATGCGTACTCTGTGGTATCCTTTAATATCCGGTTTAAGCTTGTAGTTAAGATGTAACGACAACGACTAATACACTACTACACCAAATAAGATATAACAACCTCAACTTTTTTAGAATTGAAACTTAGAGCCAAGCAACCTTTTTTTATCAGATTTATAATATATTTTTACCGAACATGTAAATTTTGAGTTCTTCCATTGAATTGTATTACGTATAATAATAAAATACGGAGTAAGTAGATTGAAGTTACTTTTCTAATTGAAGTTATTGAATAATATAATTTTATCTATTTTTCATAAAATTGTTTCTTTATTTTATTAATGAATTATTTTGTAAATATATTCTTCTCTATTCAAGATTCCTATATTGGTTCCAAATTCTAAGAAAGAATATTACGGTCCAACGTGGTTTGCAACAATGTGGTAAAAATCAACATGTCACTTTAAAGAAGAAAACCATGAATCCATGATACGTTTCACCATTTTTTATAAATAAAATAATAGGTTATTGGCTTGATAGCAGTGAATTTGTTCCATATGATATAAATAATGTTGTTTTGTAATAGAAAGAGATTTTGATGAATATAGTTATAGTTATGGGTTTTTTTGTATAAAAAAAGGAGGAACTTAAAATAGATCCATTTACAGCTAGAGAGATCGAAAGAACAGAATTTCCTATATACACTTTAATTTCAGGATTATATTTATGTCCTTGTTCAGTCGATTGAACAGATTTATCCACTTCAGCTAAAACAAATCATCAATTTCCACAATTTTTGTTGCCAAAAGGTGTTTAGTATAAGAATTAATTAATTTAGTGAACAACCATACAATATCCCAAGCACCACATAAAAAATTAAAGAGATAAAAAGAAAAACTTTTTAGCTTAATTGGTGTTTAATGATAGTCAAGTATAGAGACAACACAGTATGTCCGGATCATATAGAGCACTCAGTGGGGCCTCACATTAATTAAGCAAATCCCAAATTATAAGTGACTCAAGCGGCAGCACGCATATGAGAATGCCAAGTTAGTCAAAGTATGTACGTACTTTGTGTAAAAACAGAATCATTTGAACTCGTCCCAATACTCATTCACTTGTAACTTTTAGAAAACCCCGCCTTTGAAAATTCTCTCACAAATAAATTATGAGATGAGATGTGCACATTGATTCAAACTATAGTTAATTAACAAGGAGAGATTATCATGTAGTTTGCTAAATCTTACCTAATCATTTAAAGGTAGTATATTAGCAGGTCATCTTGACAAGGTGCATCTTTTAAAAATAAAAATCGAAGTTACCGTTCATCGCCTTTCTCAGGTGTTTTTAACGACGTCAGACTCTTTTGTGATAATGAAGCTCAAACACATGAACAACTTCGATAAAAAAGGAAACATATGCTCATATCTTGAAGCGAGACTAACCACATGTACCTTTTCTGTACATTAATAAATAAAATATGATCAGAGTAGAGATGTTAAACATGAATGTTCAACATCTATCTCTCAACTATATGACTCTCTCTTTATTACTCCGTAATATATCTGAAGTAAATTAGTTATTTGTGTTTTTTTGAAATAAAACTTATATACAAAAAATATGATCTAAGTTACTAAAGTATATTGTCATAGTGATTTTAGGATAGAAATTGAAGTTCCAATTACTAAAGTTAGTTACTATATAGCAAACACTTAAAATGTCGTGTTTTTGTAAACAATTCTTTATAAGTTAGTTACTATATGTAATATGTCATTGTTTTTAGTTATTTGTCACATTCTTTATTAATGGTAATGGATGAGGATGTATTCTTTCTTTAACTTGTTGGATCCATCCACTAATCCACCAAATCTTTCAATTCACTCCTAATTCGTTTGATTTTTTTAATACATAAATTTGATTCGTGTATATATGCATAAGCTTTATTTACTTTTTCGTAAACAAATATTTAAAAAATAAAATAAGTTTATTCTAAAAAAATTGGGCGACTGTATACGTAAAACACTTCAAAAATATAAAAGTAAAGGCCCAGAACTATAATTACGACTTAATCAAGGGCTTGAACCAGGAAATAGAAGAAGATTAATACGGAGTACGTACGTAGTAAGAGAATATACGTAGAAACAAACGACTCCACGTTCAGTCCAACTAACACACACTTTCTCTCTCCTCCAAATCGTTGAAATGGGATTGACCAAAGCCAAAAGGCAGAGCCGCTTTGCTCCCATTCCACTTTCCAACTCTCTTAACGTGGGCAAACAGAAACACAGACGCTTCTCCTTCTTCTTTCCCCTCTCTCAATTTCAACCATTCTCTCCTCTTTACTCGGGATTCACATAAACACTGTGATTTTCACTCTCCTCTGAGTTTAAGCTCCAAAGTTTCTGTTCGGAGTTGCTTCATTTGGGATCTGAAACCGTCCTTCTCGTCAGAAATGCAGTTACACCATCGGTTTCGTGCATATGATCGATTGCGGGGTTCGAAATGTCCAACTCCTAGGCTCCTGTTAGTTCAGGGATCCTTGTAGTAAGTATTTATTGCGACGGCAAAGTTTCCTGCAAATGCTTCAAGGTACTCCGTGATTCTAATTTGTAGTAGAACTTGGTTTTTTTTCTCCAGTTATTAGCTGCTTTTTCTTATGAGCTTATTTACATAGTGTTATTATTGCAGATCTGAGCGTTGTGTAGCGAATGTTCCTTTGTGCTTTTTAAGTTTGATTAGAACTCGGTGGAACTGATCATGTTGAGAAGTTTCGACGTTTAATTTCGAGTGATAATATCTATGCAACAACTTGATTTTAATGCAGTAGAAATGTTAGTTTTGGATAGCTACGCAGACCTTTATGACATTCATTTACATTTGGCTAAGCCTGGCCTGTATTCAATGAAGTTCTCCTAGTCCTCAACTCCCTCAATGTTCACACTGCCAAGTGCCAAACTACGCTTCTTAATGGAGCTTTATTTCTCTTAGTAAGACGTTTCGGTAAGGGGAAGAAAGAGACTGATTATAATTTGTCCGTTGTCATGTTTGGTTATATAACTTATAAGTGTGCTTCTAGGTATAAACTATAAAATTGTAAGACCCTCTTCTGCTAGATTCTTTTGAAAAGTGATTTTCTATCGAGATGAATGTCCTACCATTTATGTAGAGCAAGTCATATGTGTCACCGCTAAATTTTATTCAATTTTTGCCTAGGACCCGCTCAACACGCTATGACGGTAGTTGTCTAATGGTGTCACATAAGACCATTAAATTAGTGGATTAAGGTTTTCTCCATATCAATGTTCTACATGTTTGTACGTTAGTGTCTATTCTGAAATTCTAATAGGTCATGTGTCACTCTTCAGTCTCTTTCTCCCCTTTTTAAAATACTTGGTATGTTTCAATGCCATCTAGGTCCGTGAAACACAAACGCTTTGTGGTGCTTTGGTGTACAATTGATGTGGTAAATAGAATGTTTTTTGTTTCTTGAACTTTGAAGACTTGTGGACATTTAATTTCATTTCGATCTTTTTTCATCTCTTTAAAACCAAAGTGTTCTACTTTCATTTGCTGTGTGTAATCTCCATCACTCCATACTCTTGCAGGAAAATCTCAGGACATTGCTTTCTTATGACAAGAAGTGTGGACATGAAAATCTTCTCCATTTTCCACTGCCTTTGCTCCCTTTTCATTCTAGCAACGCTTGTTTCCCGTACTCTTGGTGATTTGAACTCAGATGAACAAGCCCTTCTTGCCTTTATAGATTCTGCCCCCCATGATCGCATGATCAACTGGAATCCAGCTATCCCCATATGTTCCTCTTGGGTAGGCATCAACTGTAGTAGAGGTGTGGGTCCCCGTGTGGTTTCTGTTCGACTTCCGGGAATTGGACTCAGTGGTCCCATTCCGGAAAAGACCCTTGGAAGGCTGGACGCTTTGACGGTTCTTAGTCTTCGAGCCAATTTTCTAAATGGAAGTCTTCCTTCAGACCTTACTTCCCTTTCATCACTTCGTTATCTTTTCCTTCAAAATAACAACTTTTCCGGTCATATCCCAACTGTTTTCCCCCCAAAACTAATCGTTTTGGATCTTTCATTTAATTCGTTCACTGGTGAAATTCCCAATCTGATGCTCCCAAGACTTAAACATTTGAATCTAAGTCACAACCTTCTTAATGGTTCTATTCCGCCATCCCTTCAAAACTTCCCAAATTCTTCATTTGTGGCCAACTCATTGTTGTGTGGGTTACCTTTAATTCCTTGTTCCCCTCTTGACACAGAAGTGAGAAAAAAGCATAGCCATGAGAAAAGGCTTAAGTTGGGAGTTATAATTGCCATTGCAGTAAGTGGGACAGTGCTACTCATTATAGTTGCTTTATCCATTCTCTTTTGCTGCCTGAAGAAAAGAGAGAGTAACACTATACGTTCCCTCAAAGGAAAGCCTCCTAACAGAGGAAGGGGTGATAAACCAAGGGAGGAATTTGGCAGTGGGGTGCAGGAAGCGGAGAAAAACAAGTTGTTTTTCTTTGAAGGATGTTCGTACAACTTTGATCTTGAGGACTTACTAAGGGCTTCAGCCGAAGTGATGGGAAAGGGGAGCTTTGGGACGACATACAAGGCTATTCTGGAGGAGTCAACAACAGTGATTGTTAAGAGGCTGAAAGACGTCATACTGGGGAAGAGGGAGTTTGAACAACAGATGGAAGTTGTTGGCAGAGTTGGACAGCAGCACCCTAATGTGGTGCCTTTGCGTGCATATTATTATTCCAAGGATGAAAAACTTCTGGTCTATGACCATTTTACAAGAGGCAGTTTGTCAACGCTTCTTCATGGTATGTGCACTCTTTGATTCTTCCCTCCTTCTCCTCCTCCTCCTCCTCCTCCTCAGTACAACACATACGCACAAACATTGAAGAAACTCCTTTGAAATGGGAATATCGGGTTTAGATAGTGCCCTTACAATCATTTGAATTACCTTTATAATATGGACTTGTGAATCCAAATCGTATCAGGAGCCTTCATTATATTTTAATTAGAAGTAAATTAGTTATATAATATGACGAGTATATATTAGCAATGATATTACATAAACATCTCTGTTTAAAGAATGACATTGTGACCATACTTAGTATAAAAGTTTCCCAGTAAAAACTCAAAATTATGGACTTTAACCAATAAGAACTCCCTTATAGAGTTATAGATATGTAGAAGAAACAGCATGTCAATAACACTTGGAATTGATTGAGATAGTGGGTTGTGAAAATAATTTTTTTAAAATATGCAATGGATTTTGTTGAAAGAAAATATAAAATAATTTGTCGAAATGCATTTTTTAAACTTTTTTGGGCTTGTATGTCGCTAGTTCTTGTGAAATATAAAAGAATTAGACTGTTATCCTGTTATACCAGAACTAGAATTTGAGCAGTTCTTGCAGATTACAAATGAAGTTTTTATAATTAAGTACCAATGATAAGTTCGAATATAATTCATCCATCTTTGCACCCTCTTTATACAGGAAGCCTGGCAATGGAAAGAGCTCATTTGGACTGGGAAAGTCGAGTTAAGATAGCACTATCTGCAGCGAAGGGGATTTCACACATCCACCATATTGGTGGTACCAAATTCACTCATGGAAATATAAAGTCCTCGAATATACTTCTTAACCAGGATTTCGACGCTTGTGTCTCTGATTTTGGTTTGTCCCCAGTCATTAACTTCTCTGGAGCTCCTAAGCAACCTGGATATCGGGCCCCAGAGGTGATTGAAACTCGTAAGCACACGCACAAATCAGATGTTTACAGCTTCGGAGTCTTACTGCTAGAAATGCTTACTGGAAAGCTTCCAATTCAATCACCCGGGCGTGATGACGTGGTTGATCTTCCAAGGTGGGTCCAGTCGGTGGTCAGAGAAGAGTGGACTGCCGAAGTTTTTGATGTGGACTTGATGAAATTTCAGAATGTGGAAGAAGAGATGGTTCAGATGCTGCAGATTGCTATGGCGTGTGTGGTGAGGGTTCCCGATATGAGACCTGACATGGATGAAATTGTTAGGATGATTGAAGAGGTCCGGAATTCAGGCTCTGAAAATAGGCTGTCTTTGGAAGAAATCAAACCTAAGGATTCAAATGTAAAGACCCCTTGATAGGTATATGGGAATTTATTTATAGTTCTAATAGATGAATGGTTTCCAATGTGGAGAGGGTTTTTCAATTACCAATATACTTTGTACTATCGTATATGTTTTTCCTCTTGTCCTTTACAAAAGAATTCAGGCTCAGTTTGTTTCATCATTTGTTGTTCAAGTTCATTATAGTGGGAATCATCAAATGGCATACAAAAAAGCACCATACCTCATCTCATTTTATCATAGTAACATTTCATCACCGTTGGCGAGATTAGAATCCAAAATTTACCCTTTGTGACACACCCTATTTACCAGTTGACTTACGTCCACCGGTATAAAATGTTGTACAATTTGTATAGGAAAATGATCTTCAGATCTCGCACTTCGAGGTGAGTGCTTATGAGTTATGAGATCATCAAAGTTTGCCCCTAATGGGCCTTGCATTTTTTATACTCCTAGTTATGAGATCATCAAAGCTTATGACACACCCTATTTACTAGTTGAGTTACGTTCACCGTACACATATTTCCTTTTCACTTTTTGCCCCTAACGGGCCTTGCATTTTTTATACTCGTAGTATCATGTATTTTGCATTTTTGCCTTGTTAGAGTGCTGCTCTTTTATGTCAAAATTTTAAGATAAATTTTATCAATAAGTCTTGGTGTACACCCTGGGTTACACCCTGGGGTACACCATATATAAGCCCCTTTTTACTACTTTGTTTACCCCTTCCCTTCAACTCTTCAACTCCCTTTTCGTTCTTTGCACTTCTCCCCATCCTCATCTCTCTTCTTCCCATTCCTATCTCTTTTCTCTCCACTCCCACGCCCTATTTTTTTTTTGAAATTTCAATGGAGTTTTTTCTCCTCTTTCATTTCCGGATTAGCCAGAAGATACGAAAGTGCGAACCCAGAATCCCAGATGGATTTCTGATAAAAAATGTAGCTTTGATGGGCAACACAACGACGGACGATGGAGCTACGAACGACATTGCTACGAACGACAAACTTCGAGGTGTGAACGAACGATGGAGCTACGAACGACGATCCTGCGAGATATGAAGGAGGCACATATGCAAATGAAGGTTTGGAAGAAGACATAATAGCGACGGGCGACGGACCTGCAAACAGAGGTGCGAAGCATCACAAAGTTAAGATACGTGCATTCTGACTGTACCGACAACTAGTGTACCTATGTCGGTGTGCACAGACAAATGAAAGCCTCCTGAGTGATTGTCCTGAAAACTAGTGTCGGTGTGAACAGACTAATTGTGTTTTTGTAGGTGTACACAAACATTATGTAAAGGGTTTTGTTGTGTGAGTTACATACAAAAGTGAGAGATTGATGAAGCCATTTGGTTTGTAAGTTTTATTTCCCAACATGCTTGGAGTTGGAGTTGTCTGTGAGCATCATATGATATGTCTGTAACGTTCGTATAGTTGTTTGTGAGCTTCATATGATATGTCTGTAACGTTCATATGGTTTTCTGTGAGCTTCATGTTGTGTGTGAGATTCGTATTGATGTTTATGAGCTTCAGATTAGTTGTTTGTGAACTTCAGCTAGTTGTGTGTTAGTAAAATTATTATTTGTGAGATTCATATTAGTTGTTTGTGACCTTTAAATTTTGTCTATGAGCTTCATATGGGTTGTCTGTGGTCTTGATATTCATGTCTGTGAATCATATTGTTGTTTGTGAGCTTCATATTACTTGTTTGTGGGCTTAATGAAGTTGGTTGTTGACTTCATAAAAGTTGTTTGTATTTTTTTTAAACCGAGTAGGCAAATCACCAAAATCAGTGGGGCAAACGCCGGGGAACATTTGCAGTAATTTTATTTAAAAAGGAGCAATTACAAACAGAGAGGGGGACCAAGCCAATACCTCTCAGCAGAGGCATTCCTCTGAAATTACACAAAAGAAAATTGCGACAGATAAATAATTGAAAGAGCAATAACAAAATTAAACATATTTAAGCGATGGAATGCCAAAATAGTCTAAAAATATGCCTTTCTGCTCAAATCTGATAAATAATTAACATAGTTGATAACACTGAATTGGGCCGGCTCGGAAGCTGCAATGTAATGAGCAGCCCAATTCCTTTCTCGCCATATATGTCTGAAGCCCACCTGTGTCTGAGAAGTTGAAAGAGCCATCTCATGAACCAACGAAGACCATCTACCTTCTCTCTTAGCTGAAATCAGCTCGACCGCTCTCGATGCATCTGATTCAACCACGAAATCACCATCGCTGGAGCTCAGAGCCCATTTCGTTGTTGTGACAATAGCTTTTAGCTCCGCCTGGAGACTGGAATCTGCAGACAATGGAAAACACAGAGCAAAAAGCATTTCTCCCCTTTCGTTTCTCATGATAGCTCCTCCAGCAACTCCATCAGGTGAGAAAGATGCATCAATATTTAATTTAAGCTGACCTTTAGGTTTAATCCACTTCGTGATTGCAACCTTAGTACTCCCTGTCTTGAAATTATATGGAATCAACTTTTCCTCATAAAGAATTGATGGATAGTCTACCCGGGGGTATATATCCGAAGGATTATTACGGGGAATAACTTAGAGAGAAGTCAGAGCAAGTAAGTAAAAGCAGAGAGAGAGTGTATTCAGTGTGAATGCCGTTTTCAGCGTGGTTACAAATGGGGAAATGGGGTGCTATTTATAGTAGCAATAAATGTCGGGCAAGGACACGTGTCAAGCGCTCATTGGCCGAGGGGTCACCTCAACTGGTTGGCGCTGGCAGCCGCATGTGGCCGCATTTAATGCGGCTGTTGGATGGGACGTCTGTGCAGGGTACGGTGATCTGTACGCATGTGAGGCGGATATCCTGTCGAGTGAGATGCCTTCGGCCATAGAGCAGTAGTCGAAGGCTCCTCCAACCGAGGGCACCTTGGTGCCGAGGGCTCACAGTACCGAGGGCTACTGTTTTCGCCGTTTTCTCCCAGTTTCTTAGTTTGCTTGAGAAACCCGTTCTGTGAGAGTTTAGACCCTTCGGTCAGGGGGCCAAAGGCACCCCTGGCGCGTAGTGCGGGCTGCTTGGTACTCTGGGCGCTGTGATTTGGGCCTGTTGGGCCTTTTGGGCCTGTTGGGCCTTCGCTGGAGTAGTAGGAGTCTGTGGGTCGGGGGTTCCCGGGCCATATACTCCATCAGGAGTCCCTCACTCCTTTTGCCGAAAGGTACTTGAGGGAAAAGGAGTAATTTGTGCTTGCCCTTTGATGTTGTCCCGTCGTGATCTCTGAAGTTGGTGAGGAGTTGTTGCTTTTATGTCCCTGCCGAAGGCAGTCCCTCAGTTACCCACATGTCGGGACTTGAGGGCTTGCTTTGTTGTTTGTTGGAATTTCTACATCTTTTGTAATTTAATGATTTTCCCGAGGGGGTCCTCCAGTCCCCCACTCCTTGAGGCACTTGTAAAGTGGTGAAAAGGAGTAGAGTAGTTGCGTTGCTGTTGTGGGCCGAAGGCTGACGCTTTTCGTTTCATTTTGGGGGGATGCCTCGTTAAAAACCTCATTAGGAAAAACCCTGGGGGAAAAAATCCTAATGAGGGAAAAAGAGTGCACCGAATTCCCCCAATGATGAATCGAAAATGTGGAACCTTGGTCAAAAATGGAGAACAACGGTAATGCCGAAGGCTCTTCCTTGTTCTGAGGGCTCATGTGTTGATTAGCCGAAGGCTTGATGTTGATGTCCTAGGTGCGCCGAAGGGGAGCCCCTCATTCTGGGGATCGAGGGCACGCTGGATGAGGGCTGCAGTGGAGTTGTTACCGGGGGGTCCACTGTTTGTTGATTAGTTGGTGATGAAGATACCCGAGGGCTCCCATTACCTGTGTGCCATGGGTCACCCGTCAATGAGGCAACTCCCCGGGGGCTACCCGGTTTTGCAGTGCTGAGGGGGAATCCCCGAGGGGTGCCCTGATATGAAGCCTTGGGTTTCTGAAGGGGTGATCCCGAAGGCATCTGCTATGGGGCTGTGTGGGGCACAACCCGGGGGCGTCTCTGGGTAAGTGTACCCGGAGGCTATCCTTGATGGAGTGGGGTGAAGTAGAAAACCCGGGGGCTTCCAGAATATAGCCGTTGGAAATATAGCCGTTGGAAATATAGCTGTTGGAATATGTAACGTCAGGTTTTTAGCCGTTGGGGGGGGGGGGGTACACGTGGCGTGTGATAGCTGGTTGTCCGTGGGCGGCATCACTGGTTGGGCGAAGACGCGGCGTGTGATGATGGCGTCCATCCGGATGCCCAGTTTTCGGGCCCAAGCCCGGACTCTGGGGTCTATAAATACCCCGGAGCCAGAGCCATTTCTTCCTTACGCGTCCAAAAATCCTTAGCGAAGCTCTGCCAAAAATTCTAGAGAGAGAAACTCAAGCCCTCGGTCATAGCACTTTCAGAGGTTAGTTCTCCCTTCGCTCCTCAACACTTTTTGTAAGTTCCGCCCTCTGGCCTTAGTTTAGGGTTAGGGTTCCGTAGAAATCCTTCGAAACCTTAGGCACATTTTGTGGCAAAGAATGTCGTCCGAGAGCGATTCCCAAAATATCTCGAGGGAGCCCTCGGTTGAGGATGAGGTTGCTTCCGATGTTGAGTCGAGCAGCAGTGCGCCCTCGGTTGCCGATGACGAAGCCGTGGCCTTGGAGTTGCAGAAGGCCCTTGCTGCTGAAGTGGAAGCCGAGGGCTTCGAACAGGAGTGCGAAGATGAAGAACTAGCCCTCGCGTATCAGGTGGCGGAGGACGAAGCCCAAAAGGAGGCGATGACGGTCACTGTTGCTGTGCCACCCCCTCGGACTGACTGTGGTGAGCCTAGTACCTCCAGGCTGTTGGACCCGATGCCTCTGAGAATAGCCCCCGGCAAAAAGAAGATGAAGTTGCAGAGGGCTGCCCCCAAGAAGAAGGATGTTGCCGCCGGTGCTGGGGGGCCTGTTGAAATGCCAGAGGGGTATACCTGGCTAAACACCGAAGCCCTCGATATCAAGTCGAAGGCGGACAGGGCTGACTTGTACGTCACGCAGCTGCACGTTGGGCCCTCGGCCGTAGTGGTGGAGCCAGGCGTCGACGATCTGCTGTCCAGGCCACCCGAGGGATGCATTGCCGTCCACATTCTGTCGGTGTCAATGGGCCTCCGGTTCCCCCTGCACCCATTTCTCCGGGAGTACCTCAGGTTTGTTGGACTCATCCCCTGCCAACTTACCCCCAACAGCCATTCATACGTTGTTGGCTTCCTGCACCTGTGCCGGACGAGGGATGTTACCCCAAGC